AAAAAAAACGGTTTTTTCCATTTTTCTCGCTCATTTTTCGTATTAAAAATTTATAATTCGAGCACAATGTAGCACAAACCTAGCACAAATCAGCACAACTGTCAAAATTAATAAATTCGAAAAGTGGGGGGCTAACTTCATACAGGCTACGAGTGGCCAGCTACAAATACCGGAATGCACATCTATCCGCGCCCGCGCACGAATCAATGAGCGCTTATGCATTATTCGCGTTTGTGCAAATGCCGCGAGGGCGCCCCGCGATTTATACGCCACCTTGACGTGAGCTTGGCGCAATATAACGTACCCTTGAAGAGTCTAGAGCAAGAACGAGCTGAATCTATAATTCGTAAGATCTATTTCCGGACTATCACGAGCGACGTAATCGCCCGAGAGAGAGAGAGAGACGAGGCGACTGCGGTCAAGTGAAGCCTCTTCCTTGGTCTGTGCTGTAAGTGTGATTACGATCTAAAGAGGGAGAGAGAATCGCTAAATCCGACTTTAGTCGATCTGTTGATGTCACCTGATTTATATACACGCTATATACACGCAGACGTACTATGTGCGATACCTTACATACGTATCCCATTATCTATACACAAGTTTTACAGACCGCGCGAGATATAGGAAGTAGAGTCCCATTCCCAAATTTCGTTTGGAAATTCTGTACTGTATTCGACGCCCCTTACATATGTCCTAATATTTACACACGAATCTTATAAACAAAACATATAGAAAAAAGTTGCTAAGCTTAATTCAAATTTAGAAATTAATAGATAGTAATAGAAATTAATAATTAGTAATAGATATTCAATCACAAATTATTACAACTTATAACGTGCATATAAGTATACTAGTGTGGACACAAATGCATAAGTACACTGATTTGTAGAACAACACACAAGTATTTTAGAGCCGCATAAATGAATGTATGGGTTCGGTCTCTTGACTATCGCTGATACACCCTAGACTTAACATAAAATTGATAGACACGTTATTCTTTTTAAATTTTTTAAACTTTTGCAAGTCGATCAGTAGTGTTTCTTCCATCTTGAGAACTTGTCAACTATTCACTTTCTAATTCCAAAAGTAGCAAAATGAAACCAGATTTTTCTTTATAGTTGTTATCATGCATTTACAAGCATTAATATAGCTAAAGTATCTGTGAATTTTGACTTTTGTTATTGCAGTGACTTCACAAAAATTAGTAGCTGAAATGGCCGCGGCTAGTTTTGATCTTTCTGATAAACGTCACCGCGAGTTTACAGTTATTAATACAGCTAAAATAACTTGCATTTGGACTTTTTTATTAGCTTTTACAGCGTTTTTGCTGTTAAAAGTCTAGCAAAATAATATTTTGCTGTCAAATAGCTTTAATTAAAGTTAGGACGTAATATATTAGCCACATTTTTGCTGCCGCAGCGAATATAGCCAGACTGTGTCACTATGAAGAGAACTGTGCATTTCCTCTCGACTTTGAAATGACGATCTTACAGCGAACTTCAAATTTCAAGCTAAATACGGCTGTGATTCTGTTTTCTAGCGTGGGATCGAATTGCGATAAAAGAGTAAAAACTCGAGATAAGACGGTTCAGAAGATTTTTCTATCTCTCAGCGCGGAAAGAGCATCGGAGACTCACTGTGTCGCTTTCCACTCGAGTAATCTCAACGACGCCTCGATCAACGAACTCGAAGCCGCGAATGAGCACGACTTCTTCGTCGTCGTCGTTGTCGTTGTCGCGCGTCCGCGTTAGCCTCTTATCGTCGCTGCAATAATTTAGGATTTATCGAAAGGTCTTCTTTCTCAAGCGCGGATCGTTGATACAAGCAGCGAGGTCTTACTTTTTTGCGAGACCGATTTCATATAATCCAAATGACAGTACCATTCGGTGCCAATCCACTACTATACTGGGTGTTCCGTGAGAATTTTCTCGTTGCCACCTTCTCAGGTGTAGATCTGTAGGTTTCTCATCTGAGGACGATTCTTTTCCAACGGAACCCCCGTGAAGTGCCGTTCTTCTCACGATTCTCAAGTATTGATGCTATTTAAACTACTAATTCTACTCGCCAGCTCTACATTTCGACACCCTATATTAGTATATTATTTTCGTGCCGATATCGTATCTAAGTAATGTTGCGTTCTCGTAAAAACGTCATGCACTTTCGTCACACTCATTCCCCCGTCAAGTCAAGTCCAGCCGCCTCCGCGAAGAGTGATAATTCAGAGAGATAAGACTCACCTTCGAGGCATCCGGTATCCTCTGGAGCCCAAGACCCTGCACGATGCTCCTGCGGATGATCTCCAGTTCGCCCTCACGTAAGTCGTTCCCCGGCATCATCGGCTCCTGCTCGACGCTGTCCTCGAAGACGACCGAGCGGTCGTTCAGATCGGCCGTGGACGACGATGGAGCGCCCAGCACCGCGTCGCAGAGCAAACTCCTCGCGAGCAGGCCCAACAGAAGAGTCCGTAAGACGAAGCCGAGCCTCGTGGCCGGCAGTCTCCAGCACGTGTCCGTCTTGGTCCGCCTTGGTCGCGATTTGTCAGGCACGAGTCGCGCGATCGTCTCTCCCACAGACGACGGGACCGTCGTGCCGTTGGCTGCCTCCCAGGCGAGGCAGCGCGACCGTTTCACGTATGAAGAATCGGCGACGCCGATCTCGGTCAGCCTGGCGACCGATCCACTCCGATGTGGCGAGGGTTCGCCGATGCCATTACCACTGCCGGCTTCCTCCGAGCGTCCTCCGACGCGTTCCGCGTCGCCGATCGACCCTCGGGCCTCGGTTATCAGCGATCTGCTGTTCGCGCCAGCGTGCCCGGACGTCTTACTTACGGTGCCTTTGGACCAGACGTTCGCCTCGCAAACATCCGCGGTGCCGATGCGCGCCACAGAGAACCGATTGCGACCTTCCCGTTCAGTGTTTACGATCGTAATACTACCTACTGTGCTATGAAGCATCTGACCGGTCTCCGGGATACCGATAGCCGCACCGATGGACCTGCTGCGAGCCGGCTGGGCATCGCCGCTGCGCCAAGTTCGCCGTTCGACGACGCGCCCGTTGGAGCTAGGCCCGGCGCGGATCACGCGGTCGCGAGGCCGTCGTGCGTGAAGAGAGGCGACGACGTCGCTCGCGCAACAAGTGCGCTCGTCACCGGCGATCCTGACGTCCCGACGACGTGGCCCGAATACGCTCGGCGCGTCGAGCACGCGGACGTTCCCCTCGACATTACTATTGCTGACGTCGGATCCCGTTCCGATATCCGCCACCTCGTCGGCGCTCTCGCCTCCTGGGCGATCGGCGTGCCAGGTATTCCTGCGTGGTCGCGTCGTGCCGACGACGACGGCGTCCTGACACCTCCAACGTGCTGAATCGCTCGAGGCGCCGACGATCCCGCCGAAAGGCTTGGTGTGATCAGTAATCTCCGAGATCGATCGATTCCTCGCCGATCTCCTCCTTGCGCATCCTCTTGGCGGGCCGCCGTCGGGCCGGCGCGGATCCTTATCAACGTCGCCGTGGAGCCGGCGATCGCGATCGGCGGCAGCGCTATCGGCGATCGCGCTATTAGCCGCGCTGGATCGCGATACGGCACCACCGACGGCCACTGCTCCTGCTGCTGTTGCCGCTGTCCTCGCCTTCTCCTCCTTGCTGGTCCCCCTTGTGTTGTCACGGGTGTCACGTCGAGGGATTATTGGGAGCTTGCCCATAGCCAGGTACACGATTTCGCGGCCGGTCGGGCGCGACCGGCTACTGTCGGAGCGCGGGCTGCACGTCGGACGTTTCGTGACCCGTTTTCTGCGGTGCCGCGCCGGTCGGTGTCCTTGCTGCGAGGACGACTCGCGAAAGTGTGTTCTGATTACACTCGACAATCAATATCGCGGGTAAACACCGCGGTGAACGTCAGTATCCGCCAAGGGACAACGTACTCTTTCCTGAGGCGCTTGATTCCGCGCGTTCGTCGATTAGAAGCGGAAGATCGTTGTCGTCGTCGATCTCACAAAGTTCCAAGTCACGCAGAGCCCACGCGAAGGAGGTACCGTTCCGCTGGCCTTGTTTTGCTGACGCGCGGCTGAAGTTCCGATGATCGGGAGCGATTCAGCAGCGGGCTGATCGATCGTCGCGGAGCCGGTGTAGCATCCTAAAAGGAACAGTACCCTACGGGACGTGGGAAATCACGCGGGCTGGACGTCCGATTGTGCGGTCTCGCGTCGTGCTTGGCGAAAAACGACGACGACGCGGCGCGGAACGCCGTGATGCTCATTGTAGGAGACGCGGTCGCGGTTGTAATCGCGCGATTATCAATCCGTAAGATCGACCGACGATGTCGCGATTGTTTAATCTCGACTGCTCCGCCGTGGAAGACCGGGAATACGGGGTGATGGTGTTCACTTCTCACGAGTCACTTCTTTTTCTTCTTCTCCTTCGTCTTTGATTCTACGTTTCTCTCTCTCTCCCTTTCTCTCCCTCGTCTACAGGATCGGAGGAGGAAGGAGAGCACGACCCGCTTCGTACGAGTGCCGCGTGTCGACTGTTCGCTGCTATGATATTGCGTGTGCATGTATATATCCAGCGGCTACTCCCGCCTGTCTCTCTCCAAGCTTGCCGCCGCCGCCGCCGCCGCCACCACCGCCGCCACCGCCGCCGCCGCCGCTTCGCGCAGCGCAACAGAGAAGTGAGCGCAGCGTGAGCGCCGAAGGTGTCGCCGAATGGGGTGAATGAATAGAAGCATTTCCCACACGTATCCGTTGGATATCCTGCCTTCGATCGCCGTGATCCCAATTTGTTCTGCTGGTTGGGAGAAATTTATAGAGCATCCGGAGGAGATCGTGTCGAGCGACGATTATAATAAGGGAGCAATATTGATCTTCGGAGGGAATTTCTCACACGCGCCGTTCGATGTTCTCGCGTGCAGAGCGCATGGTTACGCTTTCGCCTCTCTCGTGGAGCAACCTCGCGAAGATGTGACCGATCCCGGATGAGATGTCACATATTTTTCCACACGGCATATCGTACACACACGTCACGTCCTTGGTGGGACGACACTTACGCTTTTATCGTCCAAACTGGTTTGATAAGTAATGGTTTGACGCCCATTTGCTCCAAACAGCGCAAGATATTTCTAGGCCATCCGAAGGGTAATCGCATGGAGTATAACGGTGTCATAAAGATATACAATATTCCGAATAAATTAACGTAATAACGCGAATACTTTCCGAAATCCATGTACGCGCGTATCCACCAAGACGAAGGTTAGGACCGGTTTGATCTCTGTGATATCGATTTGCCTCAAACACGTAGTAGGAGGATATTTGAACACATTCGGGGGGCGTCGCGCGCGAATGATTTACGATGCGTAATTAATCGCCATTCATTGTAACGTACAGTCGTCGAAATCTTACCGCGTCAAAATCCGAGTGTCCTCCGAGTGTTTCGCCGCTGCTCGCTCGAACCGCGCTGCCTCTCGCGATCGCAGAACTGCTCTCCTCGTGTTAATACAGTCGAGTTGAGTAAAGGGCCGCCCTTCTCGGAATTGCGTGCGGCTGCCTGAGGACCGAGCAAGGTAACCGACCGGCAATTCGAGAGGACGATCCGCCATTTCGTTTGGCGCGTAAGAAACACCGCGTTTCTAGAGTCGCGGCGCAGCGGGCCGAAGTGCGCGTCGAGTCGAAAGTCGCCGCGATTGTCGATTTCGCGCGAGCAATACAGGTCTGCTCTTTTTAGCTGAACCAGGCTGCACTTTTTGCCTTTAGAGTGAAGCGAGTGTATTACGGCTGCTTTCCATTTACATGACTTATGTAGACACTTGCGTCAACTCGAGTTAGCTCAAGTCTATAGCTCAAGTCAATATGATAAATGGAAAGCAATTACGATGCGTGCACGCGCGTAAAAGTCGTTTCCCATATGTTCAGATTTCATTCATTAGTCTAATTGAATGTAATTGAATGTAGTTGAATGAAACAACTAAATACAATTATTATTACTATTCTAAGTAAATATTTTAAACAGATTATAATGTACAATATGGATGTTTGTAATAATTTATTGTAATTTATTGTCATATATATATATATATAAAATTTTTTTTAGATTTTTTATTATTTATTATAAGAGATACTACAGTGTGTGACATCGTTCGCGCGTTTCATACTAACCAATAATTTTCTATTAATTTCAATTTCGTACCAATTTGTTACACCGTCGTTGTATAAATCACCGAGATAAAGATAATTTAGTATAACGTTATTACACGATTGAATGATCGATGTGAACGAGGCCATAAAGATTTTTCATATTTATTGCAGCCTGGGACTATTTTTCCTTCGACTCTGTATCGGCAACCAGTTCAACTCTCTCAGTAAACGTAAAGTCAATCGAAATTGATTTGAATCACTGACGTATTGCGACATACATTACAAGGAAAGCAGAAATAGCACGAGAAGTCGACTTGTGTTACCAAATGGAAAGCACCCGACCTAGCGTTGAATGGAAAAGGAACGAAGTTGCAGTGCAGGTGTAGTTCAGCTAAAAAGAACAGGCCTAACGGTTTCACGTCTCTGTTTTGCAACGGACAGCAGCGAGATATGTATACATACATCAACATATGTATACATATATAGCTTGGTAGTTTAGACGCCGCGAATTTCTCTCAGACATCGACTCTCTCAGACTTGAAATGCATGAACGTTCGTGAGTGAATAGAGTCGCATATAGTAGGGTCTGTTCCAGTTGCGCTTTTTACACTTTGTTTCGACACTTGTGCCCCCTCCTCTTTTTCCCTTCAATGTGTAGTACGCATAGCTACGCTAAGGTTAGAAGGCTAAGAAAGAATAGACCGATACGAGCTGATCTATATGTGACGCGCGCGACAAATATCGTGCGAACCTAACCTAACCTTAATACATGCAAATTTAATACATTCATCTCGCGATACACGCAGAATCGCGGCTCCAGCTGCTCGAGAGTTCTGTTACGTCCATATTAGTCTATAGATGGAGGATTGCAACCAGACCGATCGGCTGATCCAAATCTTGATTCTACTTTACTTGATTGCTCCGATTGCAATCTTCAATTCGTAGTCGGATACGGGAATTACGCGCGCCGTTCCACGAAGAAGAGCATTGAAGTTTTTCTTTCTTTTCCTTCTTTCTTTCAATATGTGACTCCAGACTTCTAATAAGGCAATGTCCCAACGCCACTCTACGATAATTGGATGACAAAGTTTAAAGTTTAAATTTCCTTTTTGGAAATGATCCAAAGTATATCCCAATAATCAAGTTACGTCCGAACAATTTCGAATACGTCCTAAGGTCCGAATCAGACTAGCGATTGCTGATTGACAATTGGCGATTGACGATTAGTTTTCAACTAATTAAAGCAAAGTAACTACTAATTGGTTAAACATCAATCGCCAATTATCAATTGGCAGTCTGATTCGGGCTTTAGTCCCGGATCCTGATTCTCGAAAATATATCGCATACGATATTTAGTGAAAAGCTATAGTATACGTAACATCAACTTTAGTTTTTCATGAAATATCGTATGCGATATATTTTCGAAAATCAGAGGCCCGATCTACAATAGGGGTAGTAAGTTTTAAGCCGTAAGAAATTGACCAATCACAATTGATTATTCCTCTATAATTTGACCGTGATTTGTTAATTTTTTAAGACTTAAAACTTACTACACTGTTGTAGATGGGATTACGTAGCGGCGATTAGACGATAGAACTTAGTATTAAAGTTCAACTTTAATCTCAATTTTGACTCCAGGCTTCTCTTGGAATTCCGTCCCAACGCCACATACACATGTATTGGCATTAAAGTTTTGCTAACCTCTGACATGTCGTGAGATTCGATATCTCGATCGGCATCGATACCCATCGAGATCGAGATCTCTCTGAGCGAGCCTACCGTTGCGCTCGTTCGCCGGCTGGCTTGGCGCGCGTCATGGCGCCTCAGGAGCGCGATACCACGCGCGATTACACGTTGGCGAAGTACAAGGCGATCGAATTCCCCGCGTGCCACTCCCCTGCCGCTCCTCCCCGCGGCCCTTCGCCGTTGAATTCAGCTGCACGTCGCGTCGCTCCGAAGTTTAATTGCGAGGCGTAATCGAGTCTCGACGAGCGACCTTCCGCCGTGATTTATCCGTCCGCTTTCGACGACGGCGCGGGGCTTCGTATTAAGTTACACGCGAGCGCAACGCTGCATTTACTCCGACGAGAGGTATTCTTCTCTCTTTTTTCTTCTTCCTTTTCTTTTTTTCATCAAGAAGCGCCATATATACCTGAGTCGCGCAAGGGAAAGGGAACGCTCGTGATCGCGGCTGACGAGACTAGCGCGATTTCAAGAGACTTTGTATTTGCAGGTTATGAGTGAGCGAGTGCGATTCCTGAAAAGAAATGCTCAAACGGGCGAAACGGAGGAGCGTTAAGGAAATCGCGTTCCAGACGCGGTGAGAGAACGTATATGTGTTCACTCACCCACGCGTTTATATTACTTTCTATGATTACGCAATGTATGTTATGTAAAAATCGATTCTTTATAATGCTAAGCTCTGGAAGATAAGAAAGAGGTTATTTTACATATTGTGTGTGTGTATCCTTCGAGAAACTAAGAAATTATATTACATCGACTTTATCCACAACGATAAAGGAAAGGATATTGTGATTTTGCATACCTGTAAGGGGTTAACGGCGCGTTTTAAGAACGTATTGCCCGTATAGTCCTTGCAAAAAGTATCTGAAAATTAGAAATTAGAAAATTTGAAATACTGACATTACATTTTTATAGTTTATTCACCTTAGTTTATATTATTTCTGACTTTTAAATTTTTAATTTCTGAACCACAATATGAAACATTACATATAGTACTTTGAATACCTTGAAAAGTACATGTATAAAAAGTTGAGATTTTTGTCATTATTTTTTAATTGCATCTTTACTAAAGATAGCAATATCATTTATTCTCATAATGACATGATTTAAAATGCCTTCAAGTAGTAGCGTGACATTAAACGACGCATTAATGAAGTATCATTGACGCCAGAGATTCATGTCATTTGTACGTCATTAGAAGGTCATTTGACGTCATCATGTGTGCTGGGCTTACATTTAAAATAACTTTTGATTCAGAATAAATGTCTTATATTAGATATCAAATTGTTAACGAGAGCACTTTTAGATATAATATAAATTAATCTTCAATTTCCTCTAAAAATTCTTTAAAATTTTTCATAATTTCTGAGCTATAAAAATCTTAATGGCGCAAAGGCGCGGGCACTTGGGCGATGATTTATCGATGATGATGCAGTTAGGAAGAGAATGTTGACGATTAAAGTTGGAAAATCGCATCACTACGTACTGTCATATATCAGTCTAACGTGTGTGTCCTCAGCGCCACGGAATAGGCATTATATATCCGCATCGACTTTTATGTGACCTCTGATTAGTGCAATCGCATAACCTCGCGCCTTCGATTTTCTCGTTTAGCGTTCCACTTAGTCTTTCTTCCGGTGATAACGAACGACATGTCGCAGTCGTCGTGGCTTTCGTCAGGTTCCATCGTCTATCCGCGACAGCCGCCGTGTACTATTAACCACGAGGCGCGCGAGGAAGAAATAAGTTTTTAGAAATAGCGCTTTTAGCGATTTTATGCGCGGGGCATGTGCGCTAAATGTAACTCGAAATGAAATCTGGGTCGGGAAAAGTTAATTCGAGCCTTTGCCCCTACAAAGAATCACGTCCCACTTCTCTGGCTCGCCCGGGTATATTCGGCTGTCACATTTTTATCAGGAAGGAAAGTAAAAAAGGAGTAGAAAGTGGAAAGTACTTAATACAAGAGCGAGACTAGAGTCTATTTCAATGGAAAGTGTTTTCGCAGATATTTGAAGAGCACCAAAGTATTTGATAGCGTCGAAAAATTTGACGCTTTACAGCCGATCAGTTCCCTGCAAAGAAATGACCGATACAGAGGAGCAGCAAATTTCTAAGCGACTCCTGTGAGCTTTGGCGCGTACAGCTCGTACAGTACGTCCAGGTTGTTAATCATCGGCAGAGTCAGCAGGAAAATCGAGCGTACGTGGACGGATACTCGTCTATCGATCGGCGCGTGAATACGTGACGATTCGGGCTTTACGCGCGTCCTCATCGTTAAGGTGGAAATTCGCACGTACACACACGTGACGCAAACGTGGGTGTCGGTACCTGGCATTCTCCACCTTCTCGCGAGCAGCACACGATTGGACGAAATGAAAGCGTGACCGCGACGGAATCCCTGAATGAAGTCACCTCTCGGAAATCGTCGATCGATTTCGAGGAAACTATACAGTCGCACGTGCAAGCTCCTCACCTTTTTTCGCGGAAGACGAGAGAGAGTCGCGTGATGATCCTTTAATCTCGGGACATTAGCGAGATAGCGGGATGTCGCGAGAAGTGAAAGGACAATCGTAGATACGCGGAATCACCCCCGGTAGTAAAATCGCGGACGTGAAAAGTTAATCAGTGATCGGCGCTCTCTCTCTCTCTCTCTCTCTCTCCCTCTCTCTCTCTTTCTCTCTCTCTTCCCCGAATTAATTTGTCCCGTATTAATTTCGCTCTTACGCGACGGAGAATGTAAAATTTATAACAATTCTCCGAGATACATTGTCCATTATGGATAACAGGCTGTGCGAGGGACCGAAACGCGCGTGTCTTCCTTCCAGGTAATCGGGATACGATGGTGCATAAAGCCGGTTTCACACAGTTTCAGGTAAGAATCGTAAATCAATACCGCGCGGCCGCGCTTCGATGAAATATTGAGAAGTCTCAGACGGAGTGCCTTTTCCAAAATGTCGCGGTTGCGCGAAGGAAAGTGTGGCGTGTCAGCGGATTTTGATGTTTCTAAATTTTCTCCTGACTCTCGACGAGACCCGACGAGACGACTAATCGAAGTCTAGTCGTCGCGTGTGTCGCGTGCATTTCTGATTCATCGTAATTTAGCCTAATAAGGTCCTAAATTCGTCAGCCAGAAAATCCCCAATTTTAATCTCCAATCTCTCTTAATCTCGAGTCAAAAGCAGAGAAAATGTAGGTTGAATTAATTATGACAATGACATAAGTAAAATATAATAATAACAAAATTATTATAGAATTTTGTAACCAAGAAATGGATGTAGACATTCTACAGTACTTTATAGTCCTTTCATTTCGTATGTGCTATTAAAAAATTCCTATGTTGCTAGAAAAATTTACTATGTTCCTTGGCAAGGTAGACCTTACTGACAGTCTATTTTTACACTACTAGAAATATAGTAAAATTGAAAAGAATTTTTATGAAAAAAGAAAAAAACTATAATATTCTCTCTGTATGTGAATCAAATTCGGTTCTGAAGAACCAAAAATCTTGTTTGCCTCAGCCAAAACGCACTTAGTTATGCCATCGTCACGTTAAGATAAAAATACCAAGTACCTGGACACGTACTCAATCTTGAATATTCTTACTGTTTCGTACCTTTAAGTACGAATATGTAAACTTTCACCATATATTAAAATCTACATATATGAAATACATACATGTATTCTATATTGAGAGTTTAAATATTCATACTAAAAAATCAAAGCGATAAAATTATCCAAGATTATAAGTACATGCATCTGGATGAATTCTTTACTTTAACTCACCGATTTTTCCTTCTTCTCGCGGGGGACACGACATCGTAATCAAAATTACAATAACAAAGCTTCATATCAGCAAGAATGACACAGATATCTCGTGCACGCGTTACATAGGGTGGCACAACGGTTCGTGCGGTTCGAACCGTGGTGAGAGCGGCCTAAATCGGCAGACGGTGGTCCGGCCGGTGCACGCTCGTAAGGAAGACATCAGGAATGCACGCTCACGACCGGCACCGCCTGTGCACGTGGTGTGCCTGTGTGCGGGTGCGTGCGTATATTGCGTGGGGGTTTTCACAAGCTCGGACCGTGGCCGAAAGGTCTCTCCTACGCGACACGCAGAGTCGGGGGAAGATCCTCGACCGCAAATATGTCATAATTCACCGGTCTCTGGGGCGTACTTACACCCGGTGCACCGGTATGCGATGTACAGCGCGGAGTACAGCGCTTCTCAGAAGTAGCGTAGATGAATACATCTACGTGGGATGGATACATCAGTCGTTGGATAGCACGAATGTTAAAATAATGAACGGTGACCCGGTAGCGTCCGAAAGGTGCGAACGCTTCCGTGGAAGCATTAGCTGATGGAGCCCGAATCCTGTGCTCCGCGACACATTCGTGCGCTCATAATTGTGTACGTTTCGGAATATCTAAGCCGAATGGCCGCGGGGTGTAATTAATATTAGCGCGGCGAAGCGTAACCGCGAAGTGCGAACAATCGGGATATTAATAGATGTGTATGCATATGTATACGAGTCGCCTACGATCGAGTTCCTGGTCGAGTTGGTAAATTGGCGAGCGAAGACCGCGCAAAGAACAAACATAACGTTATTATTAAACGAGGAAACTTGTCAACTCAACAGAAGCAAAACCAGTTTTCAGAGGAAATAAATCCTCGAGTTC